TTTTTTGCTTTCTTCATGTGCTTGAAATCAGGAAAAGTGTGCATCAGGGTTGTATCATTTCCCCATAGTTATTCAATCTGTCTGCTCAACAAATAATTTCAGAAGCTGGACTATATGGAGAAGAATGTGTCATCAGGATTGCAAGAAGAATCATTAACAACCTGCAATATGCAAATGACACAACCTTGCTAGCTGAAAGCCAAGAGGACTTGAAGCATTAATGGATGAAGATTTAAAGTCTCACAACTGGACCAGTAAACAATATCATGAGCAGTGGACAAAAGATTGAAGTTATCAAGGATTTCATTTTACTTTGATTCACAATCAAAACCATGGAAGCAGCAATCAAAAAATCAGATGAATGATTGAACTGTGCACATCTGCTGCAAAAGACCTGTTTAAGGTGCTAATGAGCAAAGATACCACTTTAACGACTAAGGTGCACCTGACTGAAGCCATGCTATTTTCAATCACCTCATGTGCATGCAAAAGCTGGACAATGAATAAGGAAGTTCAAAGAAGAATTAATACATTTGAATTATGTTGTTGCTGAACAATATTGAAATTACCACAGACTGCCAGAAGAATAAACAAATTTGTCTTGGAAACTACCTTGGTGATGAAAGTGAGCAGGAAAACTGCATCGAGAAATGTTTTCCATCATGATAATACACCTCTTATTCTTTGTGGTTAGCAAGGTTTGTCATATGAGAATTTCACTGGGAAAGCTTACCCATTCCATGCTACAACCCTGACTGTGCCCCTTCCGATGTCTTTTTCCTACCCAAACTCAAAGAACATTAAAAATAATTTGAGTCCCTTGAGGATGCCATAACTGCCATTTGATGTAGTGTAGAAAACCACAGAATTCTTCAGGGAAGGGTTAGAGAGATGGGAACACCACCTTATGAAGTGTATAGACCTAGAAAGAATAGCTTCATGTTCATGTTCTTTCATATTTAATAAAGGTGTCTGTGAAATACATTTTTTACTTTCCATCAGATTTACAAAGATATTGATAAGAAAATGAAATAATGCAAATGTAAAAAAAATTAATAAGGTATCTGATTTATCCAGAACTGCCTTACAAATGGAACCCTGTCTTGAACAGTGACTGCCTGTAGTCTGAAAGCAGGCAGCAATAATTTCTAACATGCTATTCTTTGGAGGGCAAAGGGAAAGAGAATAAATCATAAGCAAATTCAAAAATAATAAATGTTATAGATATCTTGTTAAAGCCTGCTTTCTTTTTTAGCAGTTAGTAGTTATTGATCATAATTGGTGTTGCCCAAGAGTAGGTTTCCAATTTGATTCCAACTTTGATCCTCACAATAAAACAGTGACCAAATATGGAATGTGTGACTATCAGTGAAAGAAACTGAGATGTGAATCTGTTCAAATTCTTAATATCTAGACTGGCAGGTAGCATCAAAAGAAGATAGAAGGAATAAAAAGAGTTCCTGTACCAAAAAATATTTCTAGCATTTAACCATTTCAGTAGGTAGCTTATGATCAAGAATCAATGGTTTATAGGAAGAAGTCTAAGCTCCAGGAAGTGATAGAATACAAATTGAAATGTTTCAAACAATTGATGCAATATTGGAGGTACTCACTTGTCTATGCCAAGAAATTTGGAAGACAGATATTAGGCCAACTAACTGGGATAAA